TTTTGAAGTTCATTATAATTATTAGAGCGCTGTGCAGATAAATTTTGTTTGTTCGTCATAAATGTTTTATCTGTTAGATATGAAATTATAATGACTGCCAGCCGGGGCCGAAAAGTCTGGACAGATTTTTTCGAGTAGATAATTTTATGGTCAACCAAATTTTTCTAAGTTGTATTTTTTAAGTGAACTTTTTTTTAAATAATTCTAATGAGGTATTATACTATGTACGAAAAAGTAAACGGCGTGAGTAAAAGAATCGGAAAACTTTTAATTATGTGTGTCGTGGTTAATAGTTCGCATGAGACTTGTGAAACTGATTTAATATTTTTTTGTAATGGGACTTTAAAAGTTGTCTTAAATTGTTTACACAATTTTACACAATTTATGGTTTTTTTTTTACTTTCTGATAACATATTATGTATATACTTATACGAAAGAATTTTCATTCCCAAAACTGGATTTTTTTTTTTTTATTTATTAAAAGCTTTTAATTACTAAATTATTACAGTTTAACTTTTGCTTTAAAAAAATCTGGATTTTAAAACAATATTGATTTTCGTAAAAAAAAATAATTGCCAACGAAAATGAAATTTATTCATCTTTATTGACTTGTCATTTAAGTTGGTACGCAATACGGTCAAATATCGCCAGAATACAATTTAATTACAAGGCAAGAATAAGTTTGTATAATAAAAATTAAATATAATTTATTAAGAAAATATTATTCTAATGTGTATTATACTGATAATTTTTTTAATATTTATTTTACGAATAGTGTGACATAATAGTAAAATTATTACTACGATTGTGGTTGGAATTTGAACTACTTTTGGTTGCTGATTTTAGAAGATTTTGTACTTCTTATATTAAGTTATATAATAGCAATGATTTTAGAACATACGTTCTATAATATATATTCTAAAATCAATGGTAATAGTTATTTTGTATTATTATAATTATATTTTTATATTGTATAACAAAAAACATTAGGTACTTTCGATCAAAAATTGTAAGGATATTAAAATAATCTTCAATTTACTATTTAAACGATTCCAAGTGCTTTTGTAACACTGGCCTTCTTGATAATTATTTATATTTATATTTATACATTATCTGTAAATCCTACTTTACTGTTGATAATGTTTTCGACTTTTACTTCTTAACAATATTATTACAATGGAAAATCTGGAAATAATTCAAATTTTTATTGAAAATAAGAAAATAATAAACTGTATTAAACAATATCAATAAACTGTATAATAATACTGTATTAATAGTATAAATTTGCTTTCCAAAGTTGTTTTAAAAATAATTCGGAAGAATTGCATTTGTCGATAACCAATTTGGATGAGATAAAACTTAAAAAGATGAAAGATTCGTAAGAAAATCACGGACGTAAAGGTACGATGTCCAAGCCGCGGCTACGGCCGCTACAGACTACTGGGGTGATCAGCCGCCAACGTCTGCCTGTTGTTATACACCGGGGACTGGTCACTACGGTTCGTCAAAAAAAAAAAAATTAAAAAAATAGTACGGTTTTAGTGCTCGTTCTGTAAAGACCTATTTATTCTATGTACTAATGTTAAATATGGTTGATACGTACATTGTTAATAACAATACAATTTTGCTGCTTCTATTGAAGAAGAAAGAAGAGGAAGAAAAATTATTGTTTTCCTTCTTAAATCCTCGCTCCCCCCCCCCCCCCCCCCAAAAAAAAACTGACGTTTATATCAAAGTCGTAAAACTGAAGGTTTTTTTGAAATTTAAATTGATAGACATTTATTAAATAATGAAACAAAATTTCGCGAGTTATTTCGGGTTAAATTTGTATTCCATGTACTATCCGTTACTTTGTTTTAGTCATGAACTCCTGCAGATATCACTCTTGAATATTAAGAGTCGAATGACTGGAATGTATTGAACTATGGAAACAAATTAAACCATATTATTTGATATTTTGTATAAATTGTAGTATCTAACAATAATTACTTCATTGGAATTTCATACCGTTATACATCATATTAATATTATATTACTTTACGAGCAAAATAAATTCATTTCAGTCTACATATAATGAAAATAATTTTGATATTAATAAAAAAAAAATATATATAACATAAAAATAATAATAATAGCATAATATTTCATTATTTACCTTATGACGTTAATAACTATCGTGTTTACGGAAGGTGAAATATAATTTTCAATAAATCAAAATACAATATATTTTGCGTACATACGGTGACTGCTTGTGATATCTATAAATTGTTATTCGGCCACAGATTTCGTGATAATAATCCGACTTTTTATGACTAGAATCAAGTATAAATAACTTAAACTTCTCATGGGATTATAATATATATTTATAAACAATTTGAAATTATATATAGAGTAAGCGTGTACATATACATAAAACGGCATACTTGAATCAGAAAATTAAAAGTAGACAGTCATCTTTTACCGAATAAAAAAAACTTTCCATTTTTTTATTCATTAGAATCACCTTTTAGGACCAAAGCTAACTCAATAATAATAATAGTCATAATAATTAAAATTATTATATTACAAAAGCTTACTATCACTGTTAAATACAATATGTTCATGATTAAAAATATATAACTGCTATTCTTTAAAATCAGGTCTTTAACCATATCTTTCCTTTAAGCTTTAGGGCACACATGTATTAACGGAAATGAACACGCTGACTGTAATTGGCACCGTCGTTAATAATTACCACTCAGGTTTTCAGTAGTGTCCTTATACTGATTTAGTCCCATATTATTATTCATACAGAAACAGCGGAAGTTAGAATGGGACAATCTTCCAGAGTCCTACGCTTCTGTATATAGGTTAATATTTAAAATTATTTCTACTTGACCATGGCTTAAATTCATAAAAATTAGTCACGTCTCCATCAGTAGCGGTTCATGGTTTATAAATAGGTAGAGCACGAACTAGTTATTAACGAGCATTGACCATGAAATATATATACACTAGCCGATGACTCGGGATTGGTTGTTATATTGACTGGTGGAAGGCGCTTGCACAACTTCAATCATTAAAATAATAACTTTTTTATTTTGGATTAATATTATCAAAAACTGCTTTTGATATTTTATCACGTATTAAAACTTTATAATAACAAATTCAACTTTTATTCAGAACAATATTTAAAATTACAAGTAAACAATAAATTTATATAATTTGTATAAAATTAGTAAAAAGTAAAATGTCTACTTTGCTTTGCTGAAACAAGTAATTATTTTTAAAAATAATTTCAGTCTTCGGAAATTATAAAAATCTTTCAGTTGTATTAATAACAGTCTAAGTTTAAGTTTAATTAATTCAATAAATAGTAAAACGAAAAATAGTTTGTATCAAAGTAATTAACAAAAATAATATTTTATAATAAACCATGGGTAAATGTAATACTACCGTAAATAGTACTTATGGTAATTATTTCAGATTTATTAATGTAATATTATAAATTAATAATTATACGTAACAATACGACAATAAGCATTTCAAATAAACAATGATCGTAAATATGAACTACCGCTTCAAACGGTGGACGCGTATAGGTGCACAAATTAATAAATAAACATTAGCTATACCGACTGATCAGTAAAATATAATGTAATCTCGTCTAATACAATGGAATATTTTTCAGTCACCACGATTAGGCAGTGGCGTTAATCTTACCATTACGGGTCGAATAAATACTAATAGCAATCACCCATCCATCCCAGAATTATTTAAAATAAACCTTAACTTACAATAACATATTACCGTACACTAGGTACATGAATCAGTGATGGGAATTATTCGACTATTCGAATATCAGTATTATTCGATAATACAGTACAATACGTAACGAAAATTATTCGTTTAAGTTTTCGCGCAACACAAAACGTTTAATAATAATAGGTATTGTAGCATCGAATATTCGAATAATTCGATTATTCGAATATACATTACATCTCTAGCATGAATAATTTAAAAAATTATATTTACCTATGGGTTTATAACAACTATCAACGACCACCCACTATCCAATTTTTTTAGGGAAGTCGACTGATCCTTAACGTGTAACGTGTGCATCACTGTTATAAATTATAAATTTATAAACATTTTAGACATTGTCTTGTCAACATTCAAAGATTATAGTCCATAGTCATCGGTGTTTCACAGTATTAATAGGCTCGTGCATAGGGAGGGGTGTTTGGGTATTTAAACTGACCTGATATTTTAACGAATTTAGAAAAAGAGTATTGCTTAATATTTATATTCGATTTCAGTTTAACATTATAATCAATTGCCAGGATTATTTATATAATTGTCGATTGTAAATCTTTCTAATACTATAAAATTATTACCAAAATTATTATTATGTGAAATAAATACATTTGAAATAATAGGTAGTAAAAATATTGAACCTCGACATAAAAAATTTCCAGGCTCGTCATTGAATATAAACATTAAAGATTCTGAGCGAAAAGCGAGAAATCTACAAGCTTTAATATCTTGATTTTTTCTTTGTCTGTCTATAAAATGTTATCATTAAGGTACATTTAAGTAATTTTTTTATAATTCTCAACAATTTTTCAAATAATTGAGTTTGAATTTGATTAATACAAAATATTTCACTTTAAAAGTAGTTGACATATAAAGTACATTTAAATATTCCGTTTCCATGGTTGATGTTGATCTATTACATGTTTACTTCTAATATTAACGAGCTTGATATTTCATTTTTGTATGAGAATTTTTACTAGCTACATTCAAGTGATCAAGTGTATTCGTATATGAGCTTATTGAATATTATATAAGTAACTAGCAGACCCGGCGAACTCCGTTTCGCCACCAGATTCGTTTTATGTAACATTTCGTTTGGTGATTAAAAGATAAAGAAAAAAAATTTTTTTTGTTATATATTTGAAAAGGAAAATATTTATTTCATTTCACAACAGTAATAAATTCATTTCAATTACCTACTAAAATGAAGTGTTATTTAATTGTTTCATTGTAGTGCTCTTTGGTAAACCACATTTTTTGTTTTTTGGTCTGACGTTAACACAAACAAAGCGGATGGTTTCCCAACTCGTGAACACGCAACGTATAACTGTCCATGTGAAAAACAATGATTTTCCAAATTTATCCCGCAAACACTAAGCGATTGGCCTTGCGACTTATTAATTGTCATTGCGAACGCAAGGCGAACTGGGAATTGCAATCGTTTGAAGTCAAACGGAAGATCAGTCGGAATCATTGGTATTCGAGGAATACATACATTTTCACCTGCGTACTTTCCGTTAATAATGGTTGCCTCAATTAAATTCGGCATAAGTCTCTTTACCGAAAGTCGAGTACCGTTGCAAAGTCGCGGTGGATTCAAATTACGCAGTATCAAAATAACTGTACCAACTTTCAGTTGCAAGTTATGTGGTGGAAATCCTGGTATCTCCAGAGAGTTCAAAAACTCCGTTGGATAATTTACTACATCATCGGGATTTGTTATTGAATCAACGGATTTGTATGTCACCAAATCGCCAGCAATTTTTGATTGAATGGTGAAATTCAGTGCGTGGACATCATTATTCTTTGCTGCAAGAATTGCTCGTTGACTTAACCAAGCATAATTCTTATAATTCTCACTAATGTTTGGGAAAACATTTTCAATAAGAACTAATTGAGTGTCTACAAATCGGCAAAAGTCGTTGGTAAGAGTAATTAATCCAGATGTCGCATCAACTGGGACTTTTCCATTTCCAAGATCTAACAATTGTTTGGAAAATTGTGCAGCACTTTGATCATTTTGAAGTTGAACTCTCATATTAGTGGTTAGCGATAATGTTTTTACGTTATTCCATAAAGGTGATGCCTTTAGGCAAGCATTCAATTCATCTGCAGGCGTTCCACGGGGAACTACTGGCAACGTCTGCCTGAAATCGCCTGCCAACAATATCATCAAGCCGCCAAAGATGTTGTTATTTCTCCGAAGATCCTTCAGTGTGAAGTTAAGTGCTTCAAGTGATTTCTTATGTGCCATTGTGCACTCATCCCAAACAATGAGCTTGCATTGCATTAACAATTTTCCCATTGCACTGGATCGGGAAATATTGCACGTTGGAGTATCAATTGTGTTTAAATTGAGTGGCAACTTAAGCGCAGAATGTGCAGTACGACCGCCATCTAGAAGAGTCACCGCAATTCCAGATGATGCTAACGCCAAAGCTATGTCACATCTTGATCGAATAGTGGCCAAAATCAATGAAATGACAAATGTTTTCCCTGTTCCTCCAGGTGCATCCAGGAAGAATAGACCACCAGTATTATTGTCCACCGCTTGCATTAATGTTTTGTATACTTGTTTTTGCTGTTCATTCAGCAACGGAACATTATTTCTAACGAATTCCTGCAATGTATCAACATTGTATTGCAGCTCTCGATTTAATTCTTGGTTAAATGCATCGTGCATCGATCGATTTGGCGCAATCATTCCTACTTCAATCAGTAGCTTGTTTGCAATAGTCAAGCATTGATCCTCAATCAGAATCAATCCTTCATTGTAGATTTCATCGGTTATTTGGATGTCAGGATTATTCGTTTGAATACGCAAGCGATGCAAGATATCTTCACATATGGCGTCTTTGTATTTGTTCCATAACTGAATTGGTTGTGAAGGAAAACATGTGGTGATGATAATTGCGAACAGCGTTCGTATTTGGTACGCATTTGATGAAACAACTGAATCTGCAAGTGTTAAATCCCAATGAGAATCGTTCTCCAGCAAACCCAATAGTTGACATGCTTCTCGATATGTTTGGCATTGGTGGCCATTCACAGTTTTCAAATGCGCAAATGATTTCGGTCCACGTACATTTACTAACAGCAGTCGCAAATAAAAACATTCATCGTTTCTAGGATGAACAGTGTACATACGACCTAGTGCATCAGTTGAAAACACCTGTGGCCAGTCTGGAACTGGGGTTCCTTGTTTGCGACGTTGGAATTTCTTTGTTGATTGATTCCAAGTGTAATACTTGGGCATTTCAACGTACATCAGCGTCGCTGCGAATGGATCTGCTTCACACATTGCAAAGAAGCTAGTCAATGTTGTCGATGGTGGTCTCTCAGCTCGTTGTGCCGCATTAGCCTCAGTGAAGTAAACTCTTTGGCCATTTTCCAAATGCACTGCTAAATGTACAACTGTGGGATATCTTTCATGAATTTGAAATGACAATAATCGCCACAGTGCTTCATTAGTACTGACGTATCTGCCCATTTGGAAGTTGCTGATTTCGTCATTCACATTTTCCGACGCAATACCAAACACAGCCATGTCGCTGCCTTTTGTGACGTACTTGCACAAATATTTGATTGATTTGGCCGAATGACAACTCTCAACGTTTGCATGTGTTTCGAAAATTTGTGATAGCAGCGGGCAATATGGTACAATGAATTCATTTCCGATCTCAATCTCTTGATTTTGAACTTTAACTTTGATAGTTCGACCGTTATCTTCTTTTGAACGCCGACGATAAACTGGATATCCATCGTTCCCTGTGACTGTTTCAGCAACTAACGGTCGCGGATATCGTTTTGTGCATTTTCCATCAGCCATGCAAGGCGATAATGGATTTAATGCACCGCACGGTCCATGCACCATCTGTGTCGTCACAATGTCATGTAGACGGGGATCAGTGACTGGATCAGGAATTTCAGCTGATATGATGTCATCCACTTCATTTGAATGTAATTTGTTCAGCAACCAAATTAAGATATGAGCATGCAGTAGTCCACGCTTCTGCCATTCCACCGAGTACATATAACAACGTGCGTCACCAAAAACTCGATACTTAGTAAGCACATCCATCATAACCTTGAGTTTTTGCTGAAATACTCTGGCGATTATGTCATGGCGATATTGCGGTTTTTGACCCGGTTCCAACTCGCGTTCAATTTCCGTCCACTTCGGATTGCATGTGACCGTAATAAATAAATCCGGAGTTCCATAATTTCGCACGTACGTCATAGCGTCTTGAGCGTATTCGTGCATGTGGCGTGGGCTTCCGATATAAGTTGATGGGAGAATCGTCAGTCGTCCAATATTCTGAACATCACCATCTGAATGAATAGCATCACGCAAGTGTATATAGTCCTCAGATCGTAGCTTTGGCTGATTGAATCTGATGAACGCTAAACGTTCGGTCTCGACTTTGACATACATGTCGACAGCGAATTGCTGGAATAGCCGACCGCACTTCAGAATGACATTCTCCTCATGTGTACGAATCATCATACGATACGCATAGTAATTCATTGCGCTTAGATTTTTATTATTCGTTGATACTCCTGAAAATGCAAAATTAAATGAATTGTTAATGGAAACCAATAAAAGTAATAATGGAAATAATTAGTGTGTGAATATTGTACCTGTAATTGGATCGACCATCTTCAACGTGATGTCGTATCCGTCTTGCCCTTGCCAATAAATGATTGGATATTGTAACGCATCGTACAAACGATGTGTCTCGTTTACACGATGCATGATATTGCTTCTTCGCTGAACGACAATGTCTCGTGATTTAGTTGGATCGCCAACAATAATTGCAGCAACATCATTAACGGTGGGTGCATTGAATCTTCGCACATGTTCACCTGTTGGAGTACAATCCGCTCTTATGACAAATTTGTGCGTATCCGATGGCATTCGTTCCAATGCTGTTTTGAACATATTAACCACAGCATTATTAGCGTGAAAAAATGCTTGCAACTGTTCAATAATTCGTCTCTTTAACTGTTGTGCTCCCTGTATATTGCACCGCACGTTCAGCTGATCCACCATCGACGAAATGAAATATATTTGCAGAAATTGATGCGGTTCATCTGGTGTTGGCACCATTGAACCATGCAAATGATATATTTGACCTTGTATCTGTAATTGCAAATAATCATTAAAATTTGTTCATGAATACATTGTAAATCGTGTGATGGTGTAGTGTGTGGTGTATATGAAGTTGTTATGTGTTGCAATTATGTGTTGGTTATGTGTGTTGTATCTTTTACCTTGCAAGTCGGCATGAAGCCGCCTTCTCGAATGATATTAGCTCCAAAGGAAGTCATGCGAAAGCAGTTATTGTATTCAAGGATGTGTTGAAGAAAATGGCTGGAATCGGGATCACTTCCATCAAACAATGTTTTCAGTGGCTGTGGTGGTGTAAGTAATGGATCCAGTTTGACTTTTCCACTTGCGCAGCACAATCCAACCGTTTCTCTTTTGAACTTTACCGCATTGCAATATCGGCATATAGTCGTCATTCGTCCAATATCCAAATTTTCATCATCACTGTAGTTCGCAGTGGGATCATATTGGAATGCCAAGCGATTGTATGATGCCAATGATCTTCGTGTGCTCACGCGATGTCTCAATCGGTCATTTTCTCTTATTATATTTTTTCTTTCTTCTCTTAAGTTCCTTGAATAGACTTGTTGCTGGCTTGCATGTCTTGTGCGGCGGCCGATGTTCGCACGTCGTTCTCTAGGCATTTTGGACTATGGACAGAGTGTTGAATTTAACTTCAAATGCACGATCCACATAATTTACACTGAGCTTAAATGAAATTAACTGAGCAGAGAATAATGACTATCTATCACACACTTTATCACGCACCGTTGCTATTGGTTTGAAGTACATGCTATGTATAATAGATGGCGCTGTATGTGAAAAACGATTTCCCCACTTTTCTGTTGAATTTTTCCTGAATTTTCCAGAATTTTCTTTGCTATAAACCTCACGGAGCCCAAGACCTTTCCAACGAATGCAAAACCGTGGAAATCGGTTCGTGCGTTCTGGAGTTATAGCGTCAGGGAGGAAAACCGGACTTATTTTTATATAATAGAAGATAACGGTATAAATGAAGATATCTTTGCAATTGTATTGTTAAGTAACTTGTATATTTTTGAAAAATCACTTTTTTTTTCAATTTTCATAATAATTTAAAACCATCAACTCAGCTGCAGAAGGAAGCTCTACAAAACGACTGAACGAAAACGGATCATCATTAAAAAGTAAATGAAAGTTCGTGGAGGAGATTGATCCATTGGTTGAAATGCTGTTGAGAAAATATAAGATTTTTTACATAGAATAATTATATATTCATAGATTTATTTTACCTTAAATAATATTTAAAAGGACGAAGGTATACGCTGGGAGTAAAAAGGCTGTGGATCCAAAAGTTCCGAGTCTCAAAGATACTTGCATACATTTCCTGAAGAAGAACTTAGACGGTACATATTATTTTCTCGGTTTACGGCGATGTGTACACGATTTAACTCTAGTTTGATTTCACCAGTATATTGATATTATTGTAATATTATGTTATTTTAATTTTTTTAGATTTTAAATCTACTATAGGGATCCCGTTTGACCAACTGGAACCGGCCCTAAAATTGGCTACTCCCGAGCAGTTGTACAGAATTGAAAAAAATAACATTTATCTGATGCAACATACCAATAAACTGTGGGAATACCACACTACGAAACATTTTCGGAACGAGTACCCTGGCACAGGTGAAACGTGGAGAGACGTCTACTTTGTAATTATCAATAGTTTTTTGTTTCTTAACGTAAATTTTATGCCCATCCATTAGTCGCCAGTACGTCATTATGATTTTTGATACTAAGATATAAAATTACACTCATTATTTACAAAACAAGACGTATATATAACATAGTAAGGTTTCTGCGCACATCAGTAAACATGTATCAGTTATCTAGTCATTTTTTCAATTGTATTGGTGATTAATCTTATTTGCATTTAACCATAGTCCATTATTGTTTTGATTTGCGTAGAAAAACGCGATAATAAATTTAATGTATTGCGGTTGATAATGGAGTCAAATTTACTCAAGAACAGACGTGGTATTGTACCAGCACCGTCCGCGAAATGGTTAAAGGACGAGTATGTTATATGATTTTTAAAAAAAAATAATTAAATTGTGTTTAATGACTGCACAATGAATTAGTCATACATTTGTTCAAGGGTAGAGGAGCCATTTCTATAACCTTATGTTATAGATAATCACAAATCTTAAAATATTTTATCAAGATAATATTAAATTTGTTAATATTTATAGTGATATGAAGAAAAAAAATAAGAAAAGCGCCTGAATCTCAAGTATTTGAAAAAACACGCATCCACACACAAGATCGGAAAATAATAGTTAATAATATCGGCAAGTTCATATAAAAAAACGGTTAATGAAAACGTATTGAAATGTATCTAGCGGGATTAATGACAAATATATTTTTATTAAAAAAGAATACAGATACAAAAGAAATGCTGAGTAATTTATGGTTGATAAAGAATTTTATAAAACTTATATATATATATATATATATATATAATTATATGACGTTTTTTGTTATTTTTTTTCCTATTGAAATTAAAATCATAAGATGATTCGGGTTTCCAGTTCGAGAAAATACCTTGTACAATTGTCCATATTAAAAGCATTTTGTCTGAAGATCTACGTCAACGTATCTGAATGTTTGAGCTTTTTTTTTTTATGACAATTGCAAAAGAAACTTTAACAGGGAATTGAAGCCATTTGAAAGAATACGGAAAGTCAGATGGAATCATGGGAATTCTTGGAATAAATGCAATTTCTCCTTTTGCTTGCCCTGTAAGAATGACGGTTTCTATAATATTATTATAATATTATTTCGCAACGATGTTATTTGTATTCTTGTACCGTTACATAAGTTCGGTGGTTGAAGATTACGTAATAATGTAATTGGAGCACCAATTTTTAGTTTTAGCTTTGAGGAGAAAATCCCGAAGGAGAAAGAGAATTGAGAAATTTAGGATGACAAATTTCATACTAAATATTGGTGAAAAAACTTTTTAAAAATTCCAATGTGGTAGGATTGGGGTGATGTACGTGTCTACTGATATATGTACTGATTGTTTGATACTGGGTTTAGAGCTTTGTAATCAGTTTTGATAGTATAGTTGTTTTAGGCCATTGTATTTAAATATTTATTGCATTAAAATTTTTCCTTATGTCAATATAAATGTCACCGCAAAAATACTTAAATTTTTTTTATTCATTTTAGGTAAAAATAAACTCTATAAAAAATGTTCATCTAAATCATCAAGGTAATCTATATATGCAAATTAGTGAAAATATTAGGATGCCAACTTTAAGTATAATATATAAAAACTAAAAATAAAAATTTGCTTTTATACATAATTATTTTGTTTTATTTTCATTTTTCCCATCATTTTTTAGTTGCATACCTACCTATATAGTATTATTTACTTCAGTCACAGTCTTAACTTATATTATGGGACAAATATAAAACCTACATAATTACAAAAATATAACTAATATAAAATATTGATTATTTGTTTACTTCCCCCCCAGATTTTTTTCCTCTTTAATGGCCAAAATATAACGGGGGGCGCATGGTCCCTCTCTTCCCTGCAGGCACCCTTGGTGGTAGTGGTAGTGTTTAAAATGTAGATGGGTGTTCTGAATTAATATGTGCACTCTTAATATCAATTGTCTCTGGTACTGGTAACTGCGCACCGAATTACATTGTATTTTGCGATCCCCGTCTCATGAATCATACGTATTGAATAATTTTTTTTTTTTTAATAGCACCCTGATTTTTCCAGTTTATAACGATTACATTAAAAAAAAAAAAAATAGAAATATTATTTTTATAAAATGACATGTGATACGTTTGCACCTGCGTACCTACGCAAGAGTCGCCACTGTTTGCCATAATTAAACATATCAGATTACGCACTGAACACAACATACTACTGCATCAGTCGTTTAAATTGGGCTTAATAACTGTTCATATTGCACTCTTCCCAATCATGATGGAGCTGACTTAAAATTTCAAAATCTACCTTTCAACTGCTCATCCCTTTACTATCAATGACATGTGTAAATTTAAAATTCTTTTTTTTAACTCTTGGTCTCAATATTATCCTCATTACTGCTTTATCAACCAATAATATAATTATAATTAAACTAATTCTCAATTTCATATTACAATCAGCTTTAAAAATCTACTTGTGTGAGGTTTAATAATTACTTTTTTGTTATTAATTTCTCTTTTTCTTATGATAATTATCAAGATATAATAATTTAAGGTTAAAATCTCGATATAAATACATTAACGCTTGCATTGCTAAAAATAACGCGTCGGTCGACCGACGTACGCCCGACGGACGCGCACGACCGACGATCCTCGTCAGCGCGACGTAGCTGTACGCGCGTAGCAATTTATCAGCGCTGCACTGTAGTTGTTCATATGCATTAATTGATATAGCTACGTTCGACCGACGTCAGCGCTGACCGTCGGTCGAGCACTAAATCCAGCTTTACTGTAATGAGTTTTTACACGTACTGTAAGATTATGCCACAGTTATCTATGGATTGAGTCGACACTTAGTACTTACTACTTGTAAGAGCCACATATAACGTTTAGTTTCAGACGTTTCAATGCATTGTTACTCGATTTTATATGGATTCATTACTTCCAGAAATAATCGATTCTAGGTTTGATCGAGGATTACCAATAAGGTTAGTCATTCCCGAGAAAAAAGTTTAATACTACAATAGTTATAGTATAATTTTTATTATAGTTATTGCGATAAATTATATAAATATAATTACCATAAGACTTACAAATTTATTTGTTATGATTATAGCACCTTTAGCTTTTTATTTTATTTCTAATACATCTTGAATTAATAATTAGATGTTATGAATATTCATTCTAAAACTTTTTTGTAAAAAATTTAGCAACCAATGATTCTCGCATTCGAATTTCAAATGCGTTATACTTATTAATTATTATGAATTGATAAATAATAATAATAATAATATTGAATAATATACATGTCTTGCAGCATATAAACGACGACGGTAATGACTAATGACAGTCCGTGACAGTGACAGACACACACACTAATAATTGTTTACTGACGCACACACTCACAAGGCATATCACGCGTATAAGGTATCTCTATACTCAACCCCTTAGGCTCGGTACACACGGGCATTATTTTGACGTGTGGCACCGCTGCGTCATCGTAATTGTAATATACACACGTGCGTATTTTGACGCGCGGCACCACTTGAACACCAACATTTGAACTACGAAAATTGTGTCACTACGCGAAGTGACTACTGATTATGGAAGTGTACAACAGAAAACTGGTAGTTTTTTGCATATTTAGTTTATAAAAAACTATTTTTCGAAGAAAAACAGGCGTTACTGGGTACATCTCTTAAAGTTAAATATGTTCTCTTATTTATTTCATTATTTATTGCACCTTCTTTCTCATCAAATACCTCGCAAAATTAATGGCAAATATTAATCCAAGCCAATCGTTTTATTAGTCTGTCATGATATGACTCACAAATAAAGTTCCAAACTTCAGGGTAGGTACTTCATTATTTCCGCAATAAAAAGTTCAATGTCAAAAATTTAAAATTGTGTGTTCAAAGCCATTATTACAATAAAAACACGCACGTGTGTATTAATCAATAAATCGCTATGTAATGAGACGCCGAATTCACGATATTTACGACATACGAGTGTAATGAATATCAAGATATGATTCTAAATATATTTGTAACAATAATTTCAAACACACTTTGCTCTTTAATTATGAATTCCAAAATTATTCTCAGTATTCCATGATTAGAACGGAATCAGAGTAGGTTCGTGATTACGTGAGTGCATTTTTGTGTATTTGTGTATAATTATATAATTTGGTAGACATGTTGGCCTGGCTAAGCCGGGATTTACATGCAAGAATAACATTAGACTAGGTATATTGCACACAGATCTATAG